TATATATGTACATAAATATGTATATGTGTATATAGAGATATTCTAGACATGGCTGCCACTACTCAGTAACACAAACCACTATCATTACAATTGTATAAATATATTAAAAGAACTTTCAGTTTTAAAATCTTTTAGCTGATGCTTAGCTTTATCTCAACTAATTGCGCCCCAAAAACATCATATAGAAATTAATTTTAAAAAGTTCACCTCATATAAATGTACTATAAAAGGCACACGCTGTCAAGTGTGTCGGCTGGGAATACAGAGATGAAAAAGACACCGTCCAAATTACGCATGGGAGTATCTCTAAATTCAACTTCTGTCCCTTTCTTAAAAACTCACCACTTTCTCTAACACCCTTATTCGTTTTCATTCTGCAATGCAATCATTTCTGTTCTGTTAGTAAGTCCCCAAAAGATCCAAATTCGAGCCTATTCTAAGAAACAGATGACGTTATTTGACAGGGTGCCCAAAATCCTTAATGAGTAACTTAGCAAGAGGAGAAGGCAAATGCTGCCCCAGCTGTTTCCTGTTGAAAATGTCTCTGTAATGTAGATAAATGTGAGGGATTTTCTCTCCAAATCCGTCTCCTGTTCGCTAAATCTCACTTGTCCACAACGAGCCTGCGCAATGGAACAAAGTCGGAATATTGAGATGTGACATTGCCTGCATCTCATCCTCTTTCCTGCTTTTTAATGACTTCAAACAAGTTCATTTTTGCTGGGCTTTTGCTGGAGACCCAAGGGGATGTCTAGCGGTTATTTCTTCCAGGGGCATTGGTGTGATGTCTTTAAGGTAACTTAACCTATTTCCTTTCAAAGCAAATAGGCACCTTAGACTTACCATTATTACTTTCTCACTGAAGCAATAGCCTATAATATGAATTATATAGGGACTGAATATTTTAAGACAATTTGCACTCAATTTTAAATAGGATAAATGATCAATCTGCATCTTTAGGCAATTTGCATGACATTACACTGTACATGCAAAAGTATTTTACATTAAAGATCTGACAGCTGTAATATGGCAAACTTTTGAGACTTACGACAGATTGCATGATGTGCATGGCGAGTCATATCATGATGTACCAGAGAGTTCATTTGCGCATTGCACAAGTCACCAACTTGTATATCACGACCCTTAAAAGTAAATATTGCTGAGTCGACACGAAAAAGGCTTGGGCAGAAGGTTTTGCTGCATACTTGTGTGTTGTGTGGTTGCGCATTATATTATCTTTATTATGTAAAGTGCTTCCTCTTTTGGGTTTGGCCGCTTTGCAGCTTTCCAGTTCCACCTCACGTATCTATAGGTGAACCACAATGTTTTATCCAAGCAACCCAAAATGCATGGTTTACAAAAGCGCTCTTCTTTTACCGGACACTGGGTTCAAACAGCATTATCCTATTGGCACGGGCAAGAGCTAGGCGCTTCAAAGCGCGCGCTGGAGACATTTCCGCGCGCATTTGTGGAGAAGTGCCTCGCAATAACCCGCTCTGGTTTAGCGGGATTGTGTGCGGTGAGAGGAAGGACACTGACTTCTAAAGCCACCACAGAAACGGAGTTCTACATCTGAATGGGAGCAAATATCAAGTAAATGCACGCGCGCAAAAGTATCCTCGATGTATAGACAGGTGCATTGAACTTTTGATTGCATTTTATAGTTTTTTATTTTTATTTATTTTTTGTCATTCTTCTTGTGTGCAAGAAGAAGAAGATGCTTTTAGATGTATCCTCAATATCCAGGCACCTGTCTCTGTAGGCTGTTTGATATTCAAAAGAAGATGTTAGAAACATGGATAAGTAACATCTGTGCAGACAGACAGATGATAGATAGATAGACAGATAGAGATGCACATTATCCTTAGTTATGTTTCAGTGCATAGATGTAATGTATTTCTGGTTTCCATCTCTTTGGGATGCAGTGTACCATGCGCTGTCTCTCGTGCACCCACACCCTCTCACTGGTGCTGTGCGTCCTCGCGTTGACTCCCGCGACACTGGAGGCGGGGCCGGAGACGCTGTGCGGGGCGGAGCTTGTAGACACGCTGCAGTTTGTGTGTGGAGACAGGGGCTTTTATTTCAGTAAGTGCACATTTTATTTATTCATCAACTGCTGCTCTTTCTCTTCCTCTCTCTCTCTCTCTTCCTCTCTTTCTCTTTCCCCATGCACCAATGCGCCACTCATAAATAAGAAAAGCATCAGTTTTCATGTATTGCTGTCCAATTTTCCAAAATGTTCCCCCCTTTCTGCTTTTGCTTAATTTGTCTCAGTTATTTCGAATAGAAAGTTTACAATCTAAGTAATCTAATCCTGCCAAACACTACTTACTTGTCAATGCATGTTTCAGGTCATATTATGCATGATTGATTGGTGCATGTTATTCCAAATATAACTGTTTATAAGCTTTGTCAAAATATATGAACTTGCTCTACCTCTAAAATGACTTCACTTATTGCCTAACATAACAAATCTCTCACTTTCCAAACCTTCCCTTCAATCACACTGGTCCATTCTGGTACCATATGTAACGCCCACTTGTCATGATCCAATCAATTTTCAAAGGAATTCAAAAATCTTATTAGATATCCTATTGTGTAAAACAGGTTGTGAATGCCGCTTCACGTTAGATTATTGTAAGGTGAGCTCTTGCAATGCCAAAGAGGCAGCTGAATAAATTCTGTGCCTGATGCTCATGTATTACATTTAAAGAAGATCAGCCAGTTGCTTTGCCCCCAAAAATGAGGTTGCTGGAATTTGGCGGACACGAGTAGGCAGGGCAAATAAATGTAGTGTACATCCAACTGAATACGGGGGACTACCCAAAGAAAACCATTTTGAATCCTAGAACTAAATCTCTCTTTTTCCCCAAGCCATGAGAACTGCTGAGTCTTGGGATGTCCCAATCAGCAATAGGGAGAGGTTCAGGAGTTCTAGACCTTGATGGGACTTGCTTTTTACACTTTGTTCATACACTTTATAGACTAATTTTTCCTTTTTTGAGCATGCAATTACTTGAAAATTATTCTGTAATGTTTATTTGTCAATTTGTTTGACTGGGTGATCTATTTTGCGTACTAATAATGATAATATAAATAGTTTTTAATGACCTTTTTCATATTCCAATCAATCAATCAATCAATAGATTCATGCAATTTAGGATTAAAGGGATTGTTCACCCAACAATTTAAATTATGTCATTATTTAATGACCCTCAGGTCACTCAAAACCCATATTTGTATTTTTTCTGTTGCAAAAAATGAGATATTTAGCAGAATGTTCAGACTGCTTATCTGATAAATGATAAAAAGCCAGGCAGCTTGAACTCAAACAGCATAGCTATTTAGCAATGTCAGTAGTAACTGGATCAAAAAAGTTTCTAATCTTAGACTATTCGTATTTTCCTGAAAAATCAATTGTCCTGTCTATGACATTCGATTTCAGTGTACCAAATGAGACCAGTTACATCACAATGTGCAGCTATGATGTTTTAAACTTGTGCACATATATTGTTATCTGTTTGAATTACCCGATGAGATATTTACAACGTGCAAATGGCTCAAGGAAGTATGAGAGTCTCGGGCCACTGATGATGACATATGAAGTGATTATTTTGACAAGTGGACAGAACCCACTGATTCTGTGGAGACACATTTTATTCACTTACTTTAAAAGCGAAGCGAGATTGAACTTGAAGTTAGAGTTGACATTTTAAGTTTCCAGTCAACAACATTTGAGCTTTTAGTGGTCACAAAGGAGCTGGCTGGATCGCTCATGGCTGTCAATGGCCATGTGTTTGTTTTGTCAGTACAGAGCCCAAAATAAATACGTTTATGCTAATCTGAACTTTCCATGAAATTATTGCATCAGTGTGACAGATTCGGTGAAGAACAAATAGACGATTTTATACAGATCATTTGACTTTGACCTAGTAAGTAGTATAACACTTAAAGGAATTTCTTACAGTATGTACCCCAACAACCCTGTTTGCTGTTGTTATTCTGAACCTGTGTTTTTGCTTGTTTTGTTGTATAAAAACCTGTGTGGACTGGCCTCAAACACATGAATCCATACACAAATAAACTGAATTCATATATGCGGCAATTAGCATTGTGTTCAGTGTTCGTTGCAGTGCAGCCCATCTCGCCAGTGCCCTTACTGCCAGTGGAACTCCACTCGCATTTCAAAACTTCAGATTTCATTATCTTGATAGAAAGGCCTACTACTCGGAAAATACTACTCAGTGGAAATTTTTTTTCATTGAAACAAAATGTTGCTTTTTGAAGACATAGAGAAGAGGAAGACACAGAAGTCTTTTTTTTTTCAACTGTTAGCCTTAGAAATCCGCAGTTGTCTTTGAAATGTCTCAGTGTCAGTCTCATCCCACATTGTCTTCCGTTCTAAAGGGTTATTGGAGAGGAGAGGGGCTCCGAAACAAGTGATGCAGAGCTAGAGCACATCATTCTGTTTATTACAAAGGGCACCTCGTGTCCAGGGGTGTTTGTGTTGACACAAAGCTGCCCTTTCCCTCCATGGTTGTGTAGTCTTTTCCAGCAAAGCATCTCTTGATGTCTGCCAACAGGCTGAGCATGCACCTCATGATGCATTCCCATTCCCCAGACACAAACACAACGGGAATGCGGAAAGTATGCACTGTAAAATCTTATTTTGTCCAGAAGTGGGTGCAAGTCTCCTCTCACACATTTGGAAGGATGATCTGGCACCTCAGGATGACAGGTGAACCTCTGCTGAAGGTTGCCTCGTTCAGAATTATGTGAATCTTGAAAGGAATTATGTTGCATTCGAGTCATTTCTGGACATTCTTGTTTACAAATTTTATGCTTTCAAGTGATTTTGGTGGAATAAAATGTACTTTGTTTACTATTTCATATATCGTTTTCACTTCCTGACAAAACAGGAAGCTTTTTAGTGCAAATGCAAGACAATTAAGAGCAAATAATGCACATTAGGTGTGTAATTGATGCTTTCAGCTGTGTATTTTATCATTTTTGTGCTGCCATGGAGAATTATAGGAAGTATAGTTTGGATGCACAAGCTTGTGGCCTAATACATCAGCTAACTGAGTACCATTTCTGGCCAGCTTTATTGCTATTCTTCTTCAACAGTGCACAGAATGCCTGTTAAGTAAATTGTACTGCCAACATTTACAATTACAACATATTATGATCAATACCAAAGGATATTTGTCCATAATTCTTTAATTGACACCAACTCAATTTAGAAAGTCTGGCCAATCACAACTCTATCATGGTGTTCATGTGCCCTCAACTTGCAAATATGATAATTCCAACATTATTAAGCATTAATAATCAATCAATGATAAAAGGATTGCAGATCACCTCCTCTCAGTAGCAAAGGCCGCAAAACAGAATCGAAGTTCTGTCACAAACATCACTGATAGGACGACTTTTCAATTTTGTTTGTCTGGTTTCATTATGTTTGAAGCAGCTGTAGAGAAGAACACATCAACAGCACACAGCCAGGCTTGCCTCTTGTCCTAGAGCAGCAGCGGATTATGGGGGATTACAGGATGATCAGGATACCCCTGCCCCCTCCCGCCCCGTTATTCTACTGGACATGAACATGTTGCAGAGGGAACTGGGTGTTTTGGGTTCAGCACTTTTCTGGTGAAAAGGTGGTGGGTTTTTTTTTTTTTTACCACAAGGTCTAATATTTAAGCTGTGTCTGATTTACAAGACACACAAACAAAAAGACTTCTCTCCAAGACATTCACATTTCTTAATTTGGTCAATCCAGTTCAGTTTTACCTGTAGATCATTTGCTCTAAAAGGAAACTTCTTTCATCATATTCCCACCCTCATGTTGCTTGACCCACACATGACTTTTGGAGAAAAAATGCTATTTCTTTATTATAACGTCAAGTTATAAATCTTAACCCATGTAAAACTTTTAAATAGATACAACAAATATATATAAAAATGAAATCTATATCTATTAATACATCTATACCTATAGTTATATAGATACTTTTAAATAGATAATATAAAACTATTTTAAAAATCTGATCTATCTATCTATCGATCAGATACAAAAATATTTTTTAAAAATCAATGAATCTATTCACATGAAATCAGTCTATTAATTTATAACAGCAAAACGCCCTGGTTAAAACATTTTAAAACATTTTGACAAACCATTACTTGGCTGTTTACAACCTTTAAACACCACAAACAGTTTCTATTCAGTCATTAATGTCTGCAAGAGCCAACATCTCTTTGCATAGTAAACAGTGGCAAAAAGAGCCAGGAGACAAAAAAAAAAGAAAACTTCATCTTACTATAAACTCGTTGTGGTACCATTGATAAAGAGGTAGTTTCCAGTACTATAGCAGCTTTCATAGTCCTCAGTGAACAGTAAACTTCCTGACACTATAGGCAGCGTATGGCAGCTGCTCCAAGATCTCCCTGTTCTTTAATAACCTGAGCATGGCTATAAAAGTCAGCTTCTTTCCAGAGGTGTTCCTCATTGGAATGTACATGTTCTGATGTGTGATGATGTTTAGTTGGAAGCAAAGGTGTCTACCCAAAGGTGCTAGGACACATTTGTGTGTTAACGTTTGCATTTTTGCAACACTGAAGCATGAGGCACATTGTCCTTAATCACAGAGATGGAGATGTGCTTTGCTCAGGTTTCACAGCTCTCTCACAATGTTGTGAATGGGTTGATTGTTTTACTAGAGGAGGAGATGAAAGACTGGCAGCTGAGCTGATAGATAATCCATCCCACAATGCAACAATCTTCAATAGATGCTTGACCTAATCTGTGGACAATTTATATGGATAATGAACAAAACTAAAGACTGTTACTAATCTGCCTGTCTTACTAATAAAAGAACAAAACATAAAAACAGGCATGCAGACAGTGTTGGTTCATAGCTGATCTACCAATAATACCTTATTTTAAGATTACAATTTTGACCTCTTAAAATGCAACACTTCAGATCTCTGAAAAGTCTGCTTTTGTTGTATATACTGCGTCTCTTAGGCCACCACAAAATGGATTTCATGAAGGATCATAAGAGCTATTTTGAAGAAAACAGCAGATCTTAATTTTGGGAAGGTTTTTTTCTGGATTAGAAAATCTTCCAGGAAACATTTTGACCAGCTTGTAACAACCAGACTGACCGGTTTACTGCAAGATGATTCTTTTTTTTCTTCTTCTTCTTCTTTCATGTCACTTGGACTGCTGTTTTTAATGGCAAATACAATAGACCCCAGATTCAGAGAGGAAAATTTGATATTTTTAGTTCATGTCAACATATATGCTAGTATGATAGCATATACTATAGCTGACTTTAGGCGTGGAATAAAAGCCACAAAACTCTAAATGAATTCTAATTAAGCTCAAATTTATGAGCATCTAAGCACACTATTTAAATGAGGCAACTTGAAGGCCATCCAAAGTGTCCAAAATGATTGTGTGAACACAATTCTACCATTACAGTGTCCTACATAAAACTCTCAATTGTATTTAAAGATAACAGCGCCCCCTAATCTCCCAGAAGTGTTCGGCACCCAAGAGTCATGCAGTCTGCAGGGATGCATGTTTGTCAGAATTAGAGCACCTCTCTTTCCAAAACAATGCTCTCAGAGTGCAGCAAGTGCAAGGCAGAAGTTAATGCATTTTGTCAGCACTGGCTGCCCTGCGAGCCAAGAGCTATTAACTCTGAAAGGGAAAGGCATTTCCTCCTTGTAAATGCCATATTAAATTATTATTGTTATTTCATTTGGTAACAGGGAAAAGCCTATCAGAGCTATATTGCCCTAGGTGAGAGACGACTTTTTTTAAGGCCACCGGGAGATTGGCGACATGGAGAAAGAAACATTAACTTAGTCAGGTGTCTAAGTGCTACCTTTAACATAAATCCGTTTGGGATCAGACAACCCAAATCCCAAATTCTACACATGTACAGTAAGTAGTCAAACCTCATCGTTAAATGTAATGTCTAGGACATAATAGTGCATTGACAGCACACAAAATGTATACCCATAAGGCAGTTTCATGTTCTTTCACATGGGTAATTATCACCTAGTTCAGCAGCGGCATTAACAAGCACTTCGGGAAAAGCTCATGGTTCATCCTGGTCTTCTAGCAACATCATTCTTCTCAACAGTGGTGCTGAGCAGGGGGTTTTCTCCATAGGTTAATTTGACCCCCACAAGGGCCGGATTTGGCCTCCCAAACCAGCAGGCTAGTTTAAAGATATCAGGTTTGAAACTGCAAAACGTGATATTCTCAACATTTGGGACAGCGTGACCTCCATTTAACTGGGGGGCTTGCCAAGAAGGGTTCGCTCTGTGCAAAGCAATACCCTGTAAATTTCACGCCGAAGAAATTCATGTCATTAACGCGTCCATATATCTGAAGAATCACAGCTACGATCTGGCTGCTACGCTAAGCTATTATAGCGCTCATGACCGGGCTTTTAGCCACAGGTTACTACCAAAAGTTTTAGAGATTTAGCGTTTCAGAGCGTAACCTTGCAGGTCGTAATTGCTCCTCATGAGCTGGTGCCTTGCCAAGAATAAAATGGATAAAGGGCTTGAACTCAATGTGATGACAGGGTTTATTTTACGTACCTAAGTTAGGACAAAATTTGAAAAAAAATTGCTATTAAGTGCAGGCCTTTCCTCACAGCAGAGATTTAGAAGAGCTTTCACTTTTTGTATGCGTATCTTGCCATATAAAAGGTTATTTATAAATGATATTTCTATGCATCCAACAGGCAAACCAACAGGATATGGGCCTAGTTCAAGACGGTCGCACAACCGTGGCATCGTGGACGAATGCTGCTTTCAGAGCTGTGAGCTGAGGCGGCTCGAGATGTATTGTGCGCCCGTAAAGCCTGGCAAAACTCCACGATCCCTACGAGCGCAACGGCATATAGACAGCCCAAGGACAGCAAAGGTGTGCAGCCATGCTGCTGATGCCAGAACTAACCCTTTGCTAAGCTCCGCCCTCTTGGTTATTGTCATTTGCACTGCAAAAAAATCATTTATTTTTGTCTTTGTCTCGTTTTCCATGATATTATGATGCGTACCTCAGTCTCACCAAGATTTACGCAAAGATTAGCAAAAGAGAAAAAAAACAAAACACTTCAAATATCCTTTCTAGGCTCCTTGTGTCAATATTATAAGTGCCCCATGCAACAACGTTTACCATATTTTTAAATAAAATTCTGCTAAACACTTTACAAACACACAGGATTTCTTCCAGTTTGGGTTAAAAAAGGGGCAAAAATAGATGGTGGGTGGTTGCTAAAGTATCTCTGGTCAGTCATGTTTTTAAGGTGGGGCTTAGTAAAGGGTCAGTTGACTGTTTGACAATTGTACATTTCTGTAAAACCTTGTGACAGGTAATAATTTATGTATACATAATGGGGATCGCAGTATTAGTTGACTAATTTGGTTGACAAATGTCGTATGAATTTTATTGATTGTGTTCCCCTGCAGAAACCTATATCTGGACAAAGCCACTCTTCCTGTAAGGTAAGTCTTCCTTCATTCTGAGATTGAGCTGAGCTGTAAGGAACACGACGATGCTTCAAGATTAGTGCATTTTCTGACATAGCATTTGTATTATAGGAACAGTTTGCCTACACAAAAATGTACTTACCCTTATGTCATTTCAAACCTGTATGACTGACTTTCTGCTGTAGTACAAAAAAAGTAGATTTTTGAGCTCCAAAATGACAAAAAACGTACCATAAACTCTTACTCTATGTTCCATGTCTTCTGAAGCCATACAATAGCTTTGTTTGAAGAAAAGACCCAAATTTAAGCCATTATTCGCTCAAAATCTTGACATCTGGACTAATTCTGCTAGGAAGGAAATAGGGATGTCCAAACAAAACATTCTTTTTGGAGTATAGCACATAAGCTATATGAACCACTTTTAAAGGGGTCATATGATGCAATTTCAATTTTTCCTTTCTCTTTTAAGTGTTACAAGCTCTTGGTGCATAAAGAAGATCTGTAATGTTGCAAAGACTAAAGTCTCAAATCCAAAGAGATATTCTTTATAAAAGTTAAGAGTCAACCACACCTACCTAAAACGGCTCGTTCTAACACACCCCCACATCCTTACGTCACTATCTAAGACTTGCATAACGCCGCCCAAATGTTCACGCAAAGAAAGAAGGCCTAACTTTTAAGATACTTATACATCCTTTTTGAAGGTTGAAAGCTCCAGTCCCCATTGAAATTAAAATTTCTCCTTTTGTGTTCCACTCAAGAAAGAAAGTCATACGGGCTTGAAACAAGTTAGTAAATGATGACAGAATTTTCATTTTTGGGTGAGCGGTCCATTTACTTCATCTCAGAGCAGAACAAATAATATCGGTAGGGCTGCACAATTAATTGAATTTCTAATCGCAACTACAATTATGGATGCCACAATTACGTAATCGTTCAAAGCGGCAATTAATCGTTCAAAGTCCACTTATGTTATTCTGCAGGCTTAAGATATGTTTTTTTCTTTCTACATGTTACATTAAGGGTTTTTCCATTGTTTTAGTATAACATTATAATACCATTCATATTTTTACTTTTTTTATAATTTAAAGAAGAAACCAATCCGATGTATATTTGATATTTTAGGCTTAATACTATAGAAAAGCACTAAAGTGTTTTCAGCTTGTTTATTTTCATATAAAAATATGGCATGCAGTTGCATCAAGCAATGGTATAAACATCATTCAATGTAAATTGTGATAACCGTAATTAATAATCGCAATTACAATTTCAAGGGAATAATCGACAATTATGATTTTTGTCATAACCGTGCAGCCCTAAAGACAGGTCATTATAAATATGAGAAAACAGGTAAACAATCAAAGGCCTCATGTGAGATTTTATAAGAAAAACATTTAAATTAAATTCA